CAGCGATGGTGGAGTCTCAACTTTGACGTGTCCATACATATTAAGAGGTGTGCGTTAGCGCCAAATTTGAAATGTTCAATTCATAAAAGAACGTAAAATATCCGCTGAAATTTGGCCCTCTTTTCTTGTGTGGTCCTCAAAATCAAAATTTCCCTCGCTAAAAAGTTTACATATTCCCAAACTCAAGTGTACAATAATATTAAAACGGATGGATCGCGCATAAGGTGGGCACATTCCTCAGAAGTTTTAGCTTTCTAACTTTTCTGGTTCTTGAGTTGAAAGTAAGTGGCAGTGTGCGAACACACACAGGCAGCTTCTTGTCAATATGCATAAATATGCGAAAATGCATGATAGAAAATAGCGAGAAATGGAAACAAGGCTCAGATCTTGGCATGATTTTTTGCATTGCCGACATCACATGCTCTACGTATGTGCACGTAATGTGCAGGAAAGAATGTACGTTTAGATAAATTTATGTATATATGTAAGCGCATGTACAGGTCTGCACATACATATGTATGTTTTCGTGTGTTGTGTATGTATGTGTACGTTTGTTGGTGCGTGTATGTGTGTGTTTCCTTCTGTTTGGTCAGTAGGGGCAAAAGGTTTCGTTTTCTTTTTCTTTCCAGGACATTCGTTATAGCTTTTTTTTCGGAACTTGCAAATATTTTATTTTTCGTTTTTTCTTTATGTGTTTTCATGTTTAAATGTTATTTGTCAAAAAATTACATGAAAAATTGTCTCCTACCTTATTTTCTCAGTTTCTGGCTCTTGCTTCGCCACATTGCCATTCCGCTACTTTCACGAAAAATTGACGAGACGGTACTTTGACGTGCGCTGTGTACGTCTTAGTTGTGGAAAAGTTTGTGTTGGTGCTTTTTGGCGACTGATGTCATCGGGTCGGGGCCGGGCCTCACGAGTTGTCCTCGAAATCTGCGCAAACGCGCCGGCTTCCTATTGTTCCATCGATCCGCGAGTCCGGGGAGGGCCTCCTCGTTCCACATCGTGTTTTTACCGTGCTGACGTCAGCAGTAGCAGCAGTAGCGCCAGTGATGATTGCAATCCTGAAGATAATTGCTGGCCAGCAGCTCGTAGAGTGATTGACCGGTATGTCTGCTTGCGTCATTGCTGCTACGTGAATCCTCAGACTGCACGTGGACGTCGAATCAACGCCAGCATTTCAGGCTACAACACCGATTCACTGCTCGTACCGAACATGTTCAGAGGCCACTGTTGGCCCGCAGCAAGCCAGATCTAACCGCATTGTACATTTGCTGTCAGGAGCAGTTTATCTCAAGAGCTCATGGTGGTACCAGTCTCTTAAAGCCTCCTGCTACTATTTGTTTGTTTAGCAGCTTACGTATAGTTTTTTTTTTTTGGAGGAGGAGGAGGAGGAGGAAAGGAGAGGAAGCTTTGAGTTGATGGGGGTATGAAGTGGTACCAGTCTTTTAAAGCATGATGTTAGAAATGAAAGAATGAGGAAAGGAGGAATGAAGATGAAAGCTTAGGGACATCCTCTTCCAGTCTGAGGAAATCAAGATCGAGATTTCGGTATCTTTAAACCCTTAACTGATCAAGGACAACCCGAAGAATGAGCATCTTCCTATTGTTTGGAAACTTTCTGCCCCATTTTTGGCAACTACTACAACTCGGTTCGGCTCGGCTCGGCTGGTGGTCGTTTGGGAAGCCCTTTGTCATCTCTGGCAACGGTGCTTTGTGGCGTCGCTCACCGGGATCGTTTGGCAGCCTGCCAGAAGGGCAGGGCAACGTTACCCAGGCCGCAGTGGCTGTATGGCCTGACTGGTGGAAAGGCGGGATAGTAGAGAGGCAGCCGTGGCTGTGGGCGTGTGTGGAGGGGCGAGCGGCGGTTGGTAGATGTACAAATGTATCCTCTCCCCCCTCCCTCTTCCTAAGCATCAAATTTTCCCATTCCCCCTCCCC